TGTTGGAGTGGTCCAGACGCTACAATATATATATATATATATATAAATTAGACCGAATAGAACAGAATAGAATAGAATAGGTCAGGTGATGGTGAAAATGATGTGTCTTTAGATGTTTTTTGAAAATGGCTAAAGACTCAGCTGCTCAGATTGAGATAGGCAGGTTGTTCCGCCAGCTGGGAACAGTCCAGGAAAAGGTCTGTGAGAGTGATTTTGTGCCTCTTTGGGATGGCACCACGAGGTGCCGTTCACTTGTAGAACGCAAGCTTCTGGAGGGTGCGTAGGTCTGAACTAGCGAGTTTAGGTATATTGGTGCAGTGCCAGTGGTTGTCTTGTAGGCAAGCATCGGTACCTTGAATTTGATGCGAGCGGCTATTGGCAGCCAGTGCAAACTGATGAAGAGGGGTGTGACGTGTGCTTTCTTCGGCTCGTTGAAGACCACTACATGCAGGAAGGCCTGCCAAGAGAGCGTAACATTAGTCCAGTCTGGAGAGAACAAGAGCTTGGACAAGGAGTTGTGCAGTCTGCTCTGTTAAGAAGGGTCTAATCTTACTAATGCTGTATAAAGCAAACCTGCAGGACTGGGCCGTTGTAGCAATATGGTCTGTGAAGCTTAACTGATCATCCATCACAACTCCAAGGTTCCTGGCTGTCCTGGAAGGAGTTATGGTTGGCAAACCTAGCTGTATAGAGAGGTTATGATGAAGCGCTGGGTTGGCTGAGATCACAAGCTTTTCTGTCTTCGCAAGGTTGAGTTGAAGGTGGTGGTCCTTCATCCAGTCAGAAATGTCTGTCTGACAGGCTGCAATGTGAACAGCTACTGGCGGATCATCTGGTTGGAATAAGAAGTAGAGTTGAGTGTCATCAGCATAGCAATGATAAGAAAAGCCATGCTTCTGAATGACGGATCCTAAAAATGACATGAGATGGAGAAAAGAAGTGCTTAAAAAACTGAGCCTTGAGGAACCCCAGTAGCAAGAAGTTGTGACTTAGAAACCTCACCCCTCCAAGACACCCTGAAGAACCTACCAGAGAGGTAAGACTTGACTATGTCAAAAGCAGCAGACAGATCCAGCAAGATGAGTAATGAGTATTTGGAAGCTGCTCTTGCCAGTCTCAGTGCTTCAGTAACCAAGAGCAGTGCAGCCTCAGTTGAATGGCCGCTTTTGAAACCAGATTTGTTGCTGTCCATGAGGTTGTTCTGTGCAAGAAACATAGAGAATTGGTTCAAGTGTCAAGTTCAAACTCGCTCAAGTGTCTTTGCAATGAATGGAAGAAGGGATACCGGTCTGTAGTTTTCTAAAAGTGTTGGATTTAGAGAGGGTTTATTAAGCAGTGGGGTTACCCGAGCCTGCTTGAATGCTGTGGGGAATGTACCAGAGTGAAGAGAGGTGTTGATAATGTGAGTGAGTGCGGGTATAACTGAAGAAGAAATGGCCTGAAGGAGGTGAGTGGGGATAGGATCAAGCGGACAGGTAGTAGGATGATTGGAAAGGATAAGTTTAGAAACGTCTGCCTCTGAGAGTGGAAAGAAGGAGGAGAGAGAATGAGTATTTATGGTTATGAAGTTTTTGTCAGTTTGTGGTTTGGAGAATTGGTAGCTGATGGTTCTTGTTTTATTTATGAAGAATATTGCAAAGTCATCTACAGTATGAGTTGATGAAGGAGGGGGTGGAGGAAGACAAAGAAGAGAAGACAAGGTTTGAGTACTGAGGATTTGGAAGCTGCTCTTGCCAGTCTCAGTGCTTCAGTAACCAAGAGCAGTGCAGCCTCAGTTGAATGGCCGCTTTTGAAACCAGATTTGTTGCTGTCCATGAGGTTGTTCTGTGCAAGAAACATAGAGAATTGGTTCAAGTGTCAAGTTCAAACTCGCTCAAGTGTCTTTGCAATGAATGGAAGAAGGGATACCGGTCTGTAGTTTTCTAAAAGTGTTGGATTTAGAGAGGGTTTATTAAGCAGTGGGGTTACCCGAGCCTGCTTGAATGCTGTGGGGAATGTACCAGAGTGAAGAGAGGTGTTGATAATGTGAGTGAGTGCGGGTATAACTGAAGAAGAAATGGCCTGAAGGAGGTGAGTGGGGATAGGATCAAGCGGACAGGTAGTAGGATGATTGGAAAGGATAAGTTTAGAAACGTCTGCCTCTGAGAGTGGAAAGAAGGAGGAGAGAGAATGAGTATTTATGGTTATGAAGTTTTTGTCAGTTTGTGGTTTGGAGAATTGGTAGCTGATGGTTCTTGTTTTATTTATGAAGAATATTGCAAAGTCATCTACAGTATGAGTTGATGAAGGAGGGGGTGGAGGAAGACAAAGAAGAGAAGACAAGGTTTTGAAAAGTGTGTGAGAGTCAGAACAGTTGTTAATTTTGTTGTGATAGTATGTTGTTTTAGCAGTGGAGAAACTTGGAGAGAAGGAGGAGAGGAGTGACTGATATACACTAAGGTCAGTAGAGTTTTTTGATTTGTGCCACTTCCTCTCTGCAGCCCTGAGTCTAGAGCGATGTTCCCGGAGAACATCAGACAGTCAGGGGGCAGAGGAGGTGGTGCGTGATGGTCTGGATGAAAGGGGGCAAAAGTTGTCTAAGCAAGATATTAGAGTGGAGCAGAGAGTGTCAGTAGCACTGTTTGTGTCCAGTGCTGAAAACTGAAAGAGTGGAGGAACTGAGGATGAAACCATAGAGGATAGGCGAGGGGGAGAGAGCGAGTGTAGGTTACGCCAAAAGGTGACCTGCATAGGAGTGTGCATTTTGTCCGAAGTCAGTGTGAGGTTATAAGTGGTCTGAGGTGTGCAACGATGTAACTAAAGTGTTACTTAAAGGAGTAACATATCCAACTCATCTAAGAAGTTATCCAGTTGACCTGGGGGATGATAAATAACTACGAAATAGACTGCAACAGGATGGGTAATAGTAGTTGTGTGTGTTTTAGGGTTCTGGACTGTCTGTGTGTGTTTTGCGCCACGTGACCCAGTTTCTCTTAGTGTTAATTGTGTTAATTTGATTCCAGCTGTGTCCATTTTGTCCCTCGTTATCCTGTTTATAAGCCCCAGTCTGTTCAGTTAGTGTTTGTCGGGTCTACCAGTGATGTATGTGTGTCTACCTCCAGTTTCCTGTGATGGATTTACCCTCTGTGTTGGAAACTATTAAAGACTATTTCGATTATCCACGACTACGTGTTCCTTCCGGCAGCGTAACGTGACAGTGTGAGTCAAATGAACTGTTGCCGGTAAGAAATGGTAGACTATCAAATTTCCATTCTTTTGAAATAAGTAGACCCGTCCCTCCACCCCTCCCAATCGGGTGTGGGAAAAAGTGAAGTTAGTGGAGAGGGCTGCAGGAGTGGCAGTGTCCTCAGGTTTGAGCCAAGCCATGAGGTTAAGACTTAAATGAGTAGCAATAGATGAAAGAAAGTCTGCTTTGTTTACAGCAGACTGGCAGTTCCAGAGACCAATTAGAGTAGAGAGTAAAGTAGTAGAGGACATAGGGACAGTAAGCAGATTGTTAGGATTGTTAGGACTGCCTCCAACGTACAGTGCGTGATTTACGAGTGTTAATAGTAATAGTAGAGATTTGAAAGCACATATTAAGTACATTTGACTAGAACAAGTAGATGAGAGCAAGTTATACACAAAGTAAAGAAGGGGGGGAAGCAATACTCAAGTGTCTTGTCGGTGTCCTCGCTCAGTGGAGTCACGCAGGTAGAGTCGATGGTCTTTACATACCACTGCCACGGTGTACTGAGCAAATATATGCTTACCTGATTCCACGTAATTGAATTCAACTGGCCACGCCTTACTACTTATTAAACTGAAATTGCAAAGCCACGTGATACGCACGAGAACAAACGCGACTTGAGCACATGTTTATCACTGTAAACAAAACAATAAGTCCTAGCAATGACAACCGCGCTAAAATCTAATGAGAAAAGATACAAAACACGTACAGACTGCTGTCCTCTTCTGCTGCTCGACTGCTTCTACTCAGATAGCATCAAATAAATAATTAACAACTAGCTAAAGCTATGGACAGATTTTCAGATGTCTTTTGGTCACAGCATTTGATAATAACTGAAGGTCAGACCATATGTATAATGACATGGCGTCTCCAGTAAAGTAAAGTAAAGTAAAGTATGTTTTTCTTCCTGTTTTAAGAGTTTTATAGATTTCTCTCTGGTATTGACAGTCACAGCGCTGCAGGAATGAATCCTGGAAAAAAAATAAGCATTTCTGCACTCATCCCACTCATTATTTTTAAAGCTTTCATGTATCTTGAAAAACGTGGTTGCTAACAAGTGTCTAAATGGGACTAACAGAGGTTGTTGGGGACATTAAACATCATCACATTGAACAGCTAAACCCATGATAACACTTTAGATTAGGGAAATCAATTAACTATTAACTAGTTGCTTATTAACATGCATATTACTAGCATATTGGCAGTTTATTAGCACTTATAAAACACATATTAATGCATGACTATATTCTACATCCCTAATCCTACCCAATACCTAAACATATATCTAATTCAACAACTACCTTATTTACTATCAAGCAGAAAATTAGGTGTTTACGGAGGGAATGTGTGTTTCATAATCTGCAGTATTACCTAAACTCATCTACTCACTTGTCCACTTTTACAGCCTCATTGTTTTTATAATTATGCTTGCAAACTATTCTATTCAACTTGAAAATTGGGTTTCACTTTAATTTGACGGTCCCTTTTGCACTTTCTGCTGACTATA